TAGTAGGAAAGTAAGCCTTCGGGTAACGGTGATATAGTCCGTTCATTATTGTCGAACTCTCCACCTCGTCGGATAGGAACCCGGATGAGGCTTTCCCGGAGGGCAAGGTTTCGTCGGGGAGGTAGACAGGCCCTGAACGCGTTTGCACGATTTCGAACGGAATATTTCTGGCCGAGCCTTAGGGATCAGAAAACCCAGGCTAAACCGGCCTTGTGCCACATACGACGCACGTGGGGGTGGTGTTAAATATAACGGTGATGTAAACCGTTCACAACTGTCAAACTCACTGCTTCGACAGAGAGGAACGCGGACGAGGATTTGCCGAAGGGCAAAGTTTCGTCCGGGGAGGTAGACAGGCCCTGAACCTGTTTATACAGGTTTAAAGGGAATATTTCTGGCCGAGACTACGATATCGGAAAACCAACGACAAACTCGGCCTTGTGCAACATATGACACACGAGAAATCTGTTACGAAAAAAGAACTAAACAAAATGAACCCTTAAACGATCAGCTTTAAAAAAAGGACTCGTAACTGGAAAAACCGAATGAAAAAAGAATGTTAACAACAAATACTTTTTCACACCCAACCCAGTTCTGCGGAATCAGAATCAACGTTGTGTTTAAGCTAGCGAATGAGCCAATTGGAGTAAAGTGCCATGCAGATTTAAATTTTCCCACTTGTGACGAATGCAGCTATCGATTTTTTTTTTGTATATTAGCATGCTAGTTAAAATTCGTGTCAATCAGTTGTTGGCTCTCACGGTGACCAATAGAATCTTCCTGCCTATTCGTGGCAGCCAGCTATAGGCTCTCACTCTGGCCAGTACAAAATGTCCGCAAACTACGAAAACTGCCGTAGAAGCTTGAAGAAATCGATTATTTCCCCTATCGATGGGAGTTGTGAAATGCAAAGTCGGTATTGGCCTTCTCGCTAACTTGGAGCATGTGCATGTAAATTCTGGTGCAAATCCGTCGAAAATTGCGGCCGTGCATTCGTTACACACACACACACACACATCCTGCCTTTTATAGATAGAGATTATGGATTTAAATGCATGTCGCATAATAAACAGTTATAAATAATTACTGACTGATTTTATCATTGTGATATGTTTAAATTGTGTCAAGTATTAAGTAACTGTGGTGTGCAAATTGGACGCGAGAGTTATCAATGATAATATTTTGATTTCAAATCCGCGGTTATCTCCCTTTAACCATCTCTTCGTTTTTTTTATCTAATATACTTTTTATCACATAAAATTTGGAGCGGCGTGAGCAAACTTTATTTCTGAAAATTCGGCCCAGAGATAAAAAGAAAATGGTTTGGGAACCACTGGTATGAACCATCCCTTTGATGCTGATCTCTTGGAGACAGCATGCTGCACCCCACACAGGGGCAAAGATAGCCACAGTAGAGCCTGGCGTTGCCCGGGGATGTAACAGTAAGAGAGAGATCAAGTATCGACCATCATAAAGACTGAAAAATAAAATTGACAAAGATTATTGTTTAAGGTTGATGGGACACTTATGTCTTAATTAGTTTTTTTTTTTTTTTTTTTTTTACGAATTGGTCAAACCCAAACTCAAACAAAAAACATTTTCAATCGTTATGAGTCTATCGATTGAATAGAATTTTATTATAAACAATTGTCTTGTAAATGGAATTTTTAAAGCATTCTGAATGTAAAAAAAAAAAAAAGTGTGCAAGACAAAAAAACACTAAAAAAAAAAAAGTGAAGTTTTGTTGAAATCGGTTTAAAAATGTAGGAAATTCAATCGCATATATAAACGAACACACACACACACACACACACACACACACATACACACACACGCGCACACACACATACACACACAAACAACCTGTGTTTTATAATAGGTATAACTCGATATGAGTTGTCCTCCTTTCATTCTCGTGCAATGCATCTTAATCGTGTTTTCAAATTGATTTCATTGCAAAAAAAACAATTATGTTTTTCCAATTTTTGGCACTGTCAGAACCACCGCAAGGTAATTTTACGTAGTCCTGTGAAGTTTTGTTGAAATCGGTTGAAAAATGTAGGAAATCCGATCCAATATATAAACGCACACACACACACACACACAACCTGGGTTTTATAATAATTATGATTAAGTATATAGTAACTAGGATCTGCAAATTGGAGGAGAGAGTTATCAATGATAATGATATGACTTCGACTCCGCGGTTATCTCCCTTTAACCCTCTATGCGTTTTTTAAATGTACTTTTTATCACAACATTAGGTGCGACGCGAGCAAATTTTAATTCTGAATTCTCGGCCCAGAGATAAAAAGAAGTGGTTTGGGACCCACTTTGATGCTGATCTCTTGGAGACAGCATGCTGCACACACACAGGGGCAAAGATAGCCACATGGGCCCCCAGCTGGTGAAAACTGGCTCTCGTTCCACAATCTTTGTTGCCGATGATCTGGCTGATTTGTAAAAGCCTCACATCTAAAAAGGTGCGCAAATATTTGCCAGAGACGGCGAATGTGTTCAGCTTAATCGACAGACTTCGTTCCTTGGAGCTTAAACACGATTTCTTTAAAATCTGTATGCTCCGTTCACTGTGTGTGATATTTGCGGAAATGAAACCGTGTGCACATCCGAGCGATCGACACGTACAAAATAAATTTTATTATTCTGTCTCTCCTAGAAGTTGTAAAGATGAAAGTTTAGGTAGAAAAAGAGACACCTATATAGTGACATAAATTATCGATGCTTTTCGACGTATTTGCAAAGCTGCGAATGACATTCCTTTGAAGAATTTTTTGTTTATAAAGGCTATAACGGTATGGCAAGGGAGCCTCGGCGGAAGTTAATAGTTAGCAGGTTGACTAGAACTACTGAGTAGTGAGTTCGATCCTCACTGGGTGTCCCATACAAAATCTAGACCTGACATATTGTAAAATCAGACAACCAATAAACAATAAAAACAAGTCCACTCGCTTAAGACGTGGACTGATTTGTTTATGACAGTTTATCAACCCTTTGTAGGTTAGTATTTATCGATCCACCCACGAGGATTGAATGTGGCACAAGGCCAGTTTAATGTGGGTATCCCCGAGCCCGTAGGCTCGGCCAAAAATATAGGCTTTTTTGAACCCGCCTAGACGGATTCAGGCCCTGTCTACCTCCCCGAACGAAACCTTGCCCTTCGGCAAAGCTTCATCCGGGTTCCTCTCTGCTAATGCAGAGAGTTCGACAGACGCCGACTTGGAAGCTCACAAAGGCAGCGTACTACACTTTGATCCTAACCTAGGTTGTTTAAAGTCGAAATATATTTTAGATTTAAAGAATAATTTTGTTACCATTTTGCTAGTAAATATTGGGAAATGGAAATTTTTCCAATAAAGTTCACCCCCGTAAAAGCCCGAGAGGCACTCGAAGTAGAGGTATACATGGATACGTGGGGAAATTAACTGGTTAATTCATCGGGAAAAACCGCTTGGGAATCGGATCAGTGGTTCACAGGTAGAGGTTTACAGAGCAAATGGTATTTATCAATCCACCCACGGGGATCGAATGTGGCACAAGGCCTTTTTAATGTGGGTGTCTCTGAGCCCGTAGGCCCAGCCAAAAATAAATAACCATCCAAACCCGTCGAGGCGGGCTAGTTCCATCAACCTCCCCAACGAAACCCTACCCTTCGGCGGAGCTTCGTCCGGGTTCCTCTCTACAAGCAGAGAGTTCGACAGACACCCGACCTGGACAGCTCACAAAGCGCAGATACTACACTTTGATCCTAGCCACCGGGCCGAGCGGGTATTCTTTTTATAGATGGTATTTATTAATCCATCCACGGGGATCGATTGTGGCACAAGGCCTTTTTAATGTGGGTATCTCTGAGCCCGTAGGCCCATCCAAAAATAAATAACCATCCAAACCCGCCGAGGTGGGCCAGTTCCGTCAACCTCCCCCAACGAAACCCTACCCTTCGGCGGAGCTTCGTCCGGGTTCCTCTCTACAAGCAGAGAGTTCGACAGACACCCGACCCGACAGCTCACAAAGCGCAGATACTACACTTTGAGGTTTACAGAGTAAGAGACACAGATTATGCGGATATGAGAAGAAGATAACTGTTAATCTAAGACTTGAACAGATTAAAACTGTATTAATCGGTAAAAATCCGCTTGGGAGCCGGTTCCACAGATCAGTGGTTTGCACGTAGAGGATTACAGGGTCAGTGACAGTTTATGCGAATATGTGAGCAAGATATCTTGAACTTACAATTGAACAGGTTAAGATTCTATTGATCGGGGAAGCATCCTCTTGGGAGTTGATTCCTCAAAGCAGTGGCTCGCAGGTAGAGGTTTATAGAATTAGGATATAAATGAGGTGTCAGTTTTATCAGTCGCCAGCGGGATATGAGACGAAATATTTTAAGATTGTAGTGATCAGGAAAGCTTCCGCTTCGGAGTCGGTCCGTAAAAAAAAAAAACAGTTAATGGGGAAAACATCTCAACAATATCAGTTGGACAATTATTAATCGCTCACAAGGTCGAGGAAACGCTTTTAAAGTCTGTCAAGATTGGAAAGTGAAGACTGGACAGCTCCTGCCCGCATATAGCAGTGGGAGTGTCGTAACGTAGCCTGTTCGAAATAAGACGATGAAGTAATCAGATTATTGAAACCTCACATGTAAAGAAAGTAAAAAGAGAGAAAGAAAAGTAAGATTTTTTTTTTTTTAAAGACGAATGCGAGGAAGCGAAATGCTGTATATGCAATCAAAGCATAAGGAGACGAAAACGCAAAAAAAACTATGAAGAATGCAAAGATATATAAGAAAAGTTGGAAGGAATTAGAAGTGGGGAAGGAAAAAAAAAAAGAAGAGAATTTGAGATCGAAAAATAAAAGAAATGATGATTTTTTGATGAGAATGGGCGTAGGGGGTCAAAAATGCTGAGCAGGAGAGAAATCTTGAATACAAAGGGAATGTCTTTAAAGTCTGATAAAAAGAAAAGAAAATATGAAGGAGATTAAAGAGAAAGGAAGAGTAAAAAGAATGGGAGAGTAAGGTGGGTAAGGAAGAGAGGAAAATGAAAAAAATGGAGAGTAAGACGAAAACGGAGAGTAAAGAAAAGAGCCCCAGAGAAAATTAGAGAGTTGAATGAGTCAAAAAGACAGGAGTAAAAAGAGTGTAATGGAAATGTGGAGTGTCGAGCAGAGAGAGTCAGGAGAGAAAGAGTGTGTAGAGAAATAGAGAGTAAGGAAAAGATAAGAGACGAGTAGAGAGAAGAGAATAGTAACGTAAATAGAGAATGAGTAGAAAAAGAGAGTAAAGAGAAAGGGAGTAAGGAGAAGAGATGCTGAAGGAGAAGTACAGAATAAGGAGAAAGAGAGATTGATACGAAAAATGTAAGGATAAATAGAGAGTGATGAGAAAATAATTGTAAAAACAATGAGAATATGGAATAAAGAAGAGTAAGGAGAAAGAGTGCAAGGAGGAAAGGAGAGTAAAGAGAAAACGTGCGTGAGGAAAAAAAGTCTGAGTTAAAATTATGAATGAGGCCCAAGGGAGAGTAAGGAGGAGGAAGAGGACAAAGTAAAGGAGAGTAATAAAAAAATAAAAGAAAAATAAAGAACATGCTAATGTATAGAAAAGGATTTTAATGTGGGAAAGCGAAAATGAAAAAGAAAGAAAAAGAGAAATGGAAAAAGAGCGTAAAGTGAAAAAAAAGTGTCTAAAGGTGAATAAATATTTTTAAAAAAGAGCGTAAGAACGTAAAGAAAAAAAAAAGAGTTCATGAAATAGGAGAGCAAGTATGCGCAAATAGTCATAAGTTAAGGAGAAAATAAATCATAAGTACAGAGAAGAGATTCCTTTGAAACAGAATCATAAAAAAAAAAACGTAATCTTGAGTATAAGGTCGGATAAAAAGGAAAGAGAATAACAAAAAAAAGACGATGAACTGGTTCAAGAGCAGAAAAAAAAGAATAGAAAAAATACTAAGTCGTAAAGGCATGTGACTTTGCTGATCCAAGGTGAGCTTGTGGGTAATGTCGAAACAGCGTTGTCCGACTGGTCCACCGTTGTCCCTGTAGCAGATCAAGAAGATGAAAATGGAGAGGTAGGCCGTTGAATAGCACCGGAAATAGGGAAAATGTCACTGGCAGTAGATGAAAGGGGACGCGTCTCGAAGAATCAGTCAAGAAAATTCTTGAGAAAAGGAACGTGACCTAGAAAGAAAAAAAATCACAATTTAATGATTAAGATGGGAGAGGTTTTATAATAAAAAAAGGAAAGAAATTGAATAAAAAAAAACCCAGAAACAATAACAAAAACTAAAAAGCGTACCGTAGATGTGGCATAAGGCCGAAATTGTGTGTATGTGTTGTGTATACCTTTCAAGAAATAAAGAATGTTTAATTTTCCGAACATAGAACAATGTGGCCGTTTTCAGGGTCAATAATATGAAGTGTTGGATTTTTCTTTAAAAGCGACTGACAAGGTACTGTGATAAAGTTTTTGTGTGTGTGTGTGTGTGTGTGTGTGTGTTTTGTGTGTTGATATATTTTTTTGTGTTAATAATCGTTTTTGTTTCAGCTACAATAAAAATATCATAGTTTTACTTTCCTTGTCCAGAAAAGAAGATAATTATAAGAACATTAGAAAAATTAAGTAAAACATTCAAGCGCAGTACCTTGTCAGATGTTATAATAAAATTTCTATAAAACAACGATTGGTGCTCAAATACCCGCTTATTTTGGTATATATATATATATTCTTATATATATATATATATATATATATATATATATATATATATATATATATATATACAGTATAGGATTGGTGTATACGGAATAAATTCCAATAACCAACAAATACTATTCTTAAAAGAGTGCTCAATACAGAGTAGAACAGATATAATTATTTATTCGAAAATTATAACATCAATATTTTATAAAAATCACTACAAAAATAGCTATTTTGTTTCAACACTTCTGGTGTGATATCAAGGGATGGTGTTGAATAAACATTCAACAACATCCCTGATAAGACACCAGAATTGTTGAAACAATATGGCTATTTTTGTAGTGATTTTATAACATATTTTTGTTATAATTTTCGAAAAAATAGACACACACACACACACACACACACACACACACACACATATATATATATATATATATATATATATATATATATATATATATGCAATTTTTTATATATATTATTTATATAATATATATGCGCGGTACTTATTAGAAAGCGCTCAATATCAGTGGCAGAGGCAACTATATATATATATATATATATATATATATATATATATATATATCGATCAATACTTCATGGACGACGAATACACAACTTTCAATATAAAACAAATATTAATGGATAATTCCAAAATACACTACAACACGCAATCCAAGGAGAGACTCAAAACTCTGGAAGTTAGTATTATACAAAATAAACAGTCCACGTTAATCAAAATATGCTTCCCCACAAGACAAATTATCTTAAATTGTCTGTGTATATATCTGAGTTGAAGTATTATGATTATTACATAATTTCCATTATTCGGACTGTTATCCTCATCGTCATTGCCATGTTCACATCATTTCGGCAGTTAATTGCCATACGTGATACGCGCTTGGGCGATCATACCTCTCCAAAACTTCCTCACCTCAATCACTGCTGACTCCTTCAGTTAAGTACCATATATGATACACACTTGGACGATCATGTCTCTCCACAACTTCCTCGCATATATCAATGTTGACTCTTTCAATTATGCGCCATACGTATCTTGTATCTTTCGATGTATGACTAACGAGGCAGATATTCTCCTAAGCTAGACTGGTTGCCAACCGATGTTAAAGAACCCAGTCTGCCCTGCTATTAAACCCATAGTTGCGGGGAAGAGATCGTTTTATATCTTTCCCAAGGGTATTTGTGCGTAAGTGAATATAAAGAACTTGATAGATTATATTCACTTACTGAGATTCGAACTCGGCTATCCGAGTTCTCATTCCGAGCCGACATCCAGTACATCACGACGCACATCTGTTTTATCTATAGGTCGCCTTATACGTGGAAATATACGGTTGTTATAATAACTGCATATTTAAGCGAAGTGGGTATTGCAATTTTATCTTCTCCCTATATTCTGGGTCATAGTTTCTCCTTATTGTTTTCAAATCCTGTATGTATATGTGGTCTGAAAGATGTTTATTTAAACACTTACCACAGCTCAATGTCTATTTTATCCGCTGCCGCTTTAGTTTTTTGCTTCATTCTGCCATTTTGACCCCATTTCAAAGGTATAATGCCGTTCATATTTTCGACTAATCACCCCTTTTGATGGACTGGCCGGAAAGGAATGTTAAGGCCAAATTATCATTTACGTGTCAGTATTTGTAAAGTAAGGTTCAGGCAAAGTGGCAGGGAGCGGAAACTGAGGCATAATTATATATATATATATATATATATATATATATATATATATAGCGTGAGAAAAACAAGCTATTTAGGGGTCGATAATCTACGATACATAAGAATTAGTGTGCACAGTAAGGGGTCACGTGTGTCTTAGATAAGTCACATGAAAGATAAAGAAAAGAATAAATAAATATACATATATATTTATATAGTTGGGTGTGTGTTCGTGTTTATGTGCGTTTGCGCGGGAGCTGTTCATTAATTTCTTAGTATAACCATTATATTTATTTTGTTTTTGTCTCAGACGATGAGATTAGTTTTACTATTTAACTAATGTATTAATAGTGATTGACTTAATGATGATTTCTATAAAAATATATGGACGTTTTTCTCTCTTTTCTCTCGTTTTTTGTATATATATATATATATATATATATATATATATATATATATATATATATATATATATATATATATATATATACACACACACAGACATATATATATATATATATATATATATATATATATATATATATGTATGTATGTATGTATAAGATATCGGACATTATGTTTTGGTGTTAATAAAATATTGCTCAACGTAATATAAAAGAGTTATTAAGTATATATAAATAAATATATATTTTTCCTCGCCCGTAGCACGACTCCGAGTTTCATGCACGATGCAATCGTCAGGTGCTGAATAGAGATTGACCTTTACATAATTTAAATCTTAATATAAAATATTTGGTTAATGAAATGAGGCAATCCATATATTACACGGGGATTTCTTTTTTGTTGAAATACGTTGATCAAGATTAATTTCTATTGTAGATTATCCCTTTTCCATTTTTATTTTTCTTGCTTACTTATGTCGAGCGTATATGAACTTCTTTTTTTACTAATATATATATATATATATATATATATATATATATAGTTGTAGGTTTATTTTAATATACTTATTTTGAAATACATTTAATCCCAGTTTATTTTAAATAACTATTTTAAATACATAACTTTTATAGAAAAAACATAAAAAAAACCCTGCAGTCCATTTATAATATATATGGACTGTGCCAACATTCCATTAAGCAGAGAAATTTGGTTAAAATTTCAATTATGTCACGGTCGGTTGTTACATGATGATTGCATTGTGCGTGAAACTCCGAGTCGACATTTTTATTAATATATATATATATGTGTAGACAAAAGGAACATTTTTTTTTTTTTACGTTCCTTACGTCTTTTAGACGGTTTTTGATTTACCCTTTTTTTATTTTAAACTCTTGTGGAACTACTTATTTTTCAACCCACGTTGTTCAGTCTTAATTTTGTGTAATTAAAATTTGCCTTTCAGTCGCGTTCTACCTTTCCTTCCTCATTTATTTAATAAAGTGTGTATTTATATTCATTTATATTGCCAACGAATACCTTTGAAAAAGTGTTGGCCGAAAGGTACCTTGGATGTGACGTCCGTTTTGTTTAAGGCTACATATATATATATATGTGTGTGTGTGTGTGTGTGTGTGTGTGTGTGTAGAACATAGGAAATAACTCGTTAGGTAAATAATCCAAAGTTCTCTAGTATTTTTGTTATTATCATTAAAAAATAGTGCTCGATACAAAAGTAGAGCATAAATATAATTATTTATTTAAAAATATGATTCCAACACGCTCCATAAGAGTTCTCGTGTTTCAAAACAATAACCGAAAACTTCAATATAATCATTTGAATTAAATTGAATTAAAGTACAAATCTCTGTTTCATCTTCAAGCGAAATTTTTACTGGAATAACTTTACGCGTTTTATAAGGATATCCATTATTGAAATTAAGATTATTATGGTAACGACTAGAGCAATTGTTTAAAGAAAAGAGGCGTAAGGGTTAATAATTTGAATATATATATATATATATATATATAACTTTCGTAAAAGAGGTAACACTTTGTTTTTAAATTTCCTTAAAAATCATTTAATCGCCAGTTGCTTACCAACGCCTGAAGAAGTACAATCATAGTATTGAAACATGAACGCAGTTGTGTTGCGATTTCAAAATATTTTTATTATAATCTCTAATGTTGGACTGAACTCTTTATTTCGCTCACTGAGGTAGACTGTTCTAGTTCCACGTCTGACAGTTAACTCCTCTTAATTTCTCTCTGAAATTTCTCCACCGCCTTAATCAGGTATTG